CCCCAAAACCCCAAAACCCCAGAAAACTAAAATAAGTCAACTACAATGAAATAAAATAGTGAATCATTTATTCAATTATAACATCAAAGGTGAATATTCTAATTACTATTATTTTCTAATTAACTTTCTTCAGAGTATTGAAGCTCATTATGACGATAAGCGAAAGTTGATATTAGTCTAGTTTTTTCACCAGCAGGGCCGAAACTAAAATAATTGTCTTCAGTTAATTTGTATTGTTACTCCTCTTGTGTCAAAAATGTTTCATTAGAGCCTTTTTAATCATCCTTTTTTTATCTTAAAAAGTATGCAAGTCCATTAACTATGATAAATGCTAAATAAACTAGGAAAAATATCAAGCATAGAATTGCGAATAAATTACAAGTTACGCTTAAGCCTTTATTTTCATAACAATAAGCACCAATAGCAGGTGAAATAGATAAGCCACAAGATTTAAATAACTAAAATATTGACTAAGCAAACTCTTAAATTTATGAATCTCTGTATTCATCTTATCCTTTTTAGAACTTTTGATTATCATATATAGAATCAACGACTTCTGGAATTACTGGTATGATTGCAAATGCTTATCCAGCACCACACAATATAAACCCAAATAATACAATAAAGTTTTAACTTAAAAATTTCCCAACTATTTATGGTCCACTAATAAGATAAATTCCCAAGGCAAGTATCAAAATTGCAAAAGTAATTGTAACTTTCTTAGATATTAAATCACAAATTATGTTTACATAAATCGAAAATGTTAAATATGAAATCAACATCATGCTTAAAATAATACCTAAGTACCATAACTCGATAGAGTAGTCATCTCTAAACACTTTTGATAAATAAGCTGAGTAAAAACTCATTGACATATATGCCAAGAAACAACTTAAATAGGCAAAGATAGCCCTTGTATTGCCTAAAAACATTTTGTATGTAACTTTTTCTCTTAAATTAATTGAATCATCATAAGTGGGATTATGATTGACACTATAGTTTAAGAAGTTTGGGCATATCATTACATTTAGAGACAATCCTACTAAGAAAATTATGCTAAAACTAAAGAATGCATTAAAATACCCAAAGGTGGAAAATATTAAAGTTCCAAATAATTAGCCTAACATTAAACCGATTAAAGACAATTTTTCCCCTAACCCAATATATTTTTATGTTTCTTCATTGCACAGCTAAATAATTATAGAATAGCACGAAGTATTTACAAAAGCACACCCAATACCCTCTAAAGCTCTAATTATCAATAAAAAGATCAAATAATTTGTGCTATCTAATATGTATTGTGTCATGCCTAAGAACATTGTTGAAAAGCACTATAAAATATCAGAAATTAATAACAGGTATAAGAATATTTAGAATACTCACCAACAGAAGAAAACCAATAATAATACTGTTCTTTTTGCCTATTTTGCTCTAGTATCAGCTAATTATTGGTGTAATCAGAAAAATTGATATTTCATATGAACTATAATGTACCATAAAAAGAGAGTAATTTGATTTACATGAATATAGAAGATAACTGAGTCGGCTTTAAGTCGTTATAATGATCTGAAACCCAGATTGGTATAATATTTTACAGATTGAGAGCTAGTGAATTTACTAATACCAAGGATATCATTGTAGAAATCAAAGCCTTCCTCCTCATAGAACTATGGTTGAAGTCTCTAAAAGTTTTATGGTGGGACAGTGGTTGAGATCTTGTTCCCATGCTATTTAGACTAGTATTGCAGCTTTCCTTTTCAATGTCAAATTATTTAGTAATAACGATCATTAATATTATCAATTTAAATATTTTTGATGTTACTTTATTTATGCTATAATAGGGTAGAGGGGTTTTGGGGTTTTGGGGTTTTGGGG